CATCCATCCATCCTTCCTTTCATCCATCCATCCTTCCTTTCATCCATCCATCCTTCCTTTCATCCATCCATCCTTCCTTTCATCCATCCTTCCTTCCTTTCATCCATCCATCCTTCCTTTCATCCATCCATCCTTTCATCCATCCATCCTTCCTTCCTTCCATCCATCCTTCCTTCCTTTCGTCCTTCCTTCCTTCCATCCATCCATCCATCCATCCATCCATCCATCCATCCATCCATCCCCCCCCACCCAGGTCGCATTGCAGGGCAACACAGAGACACCGATTACACAACCACACACACTCACTCACATTAGGACAATGTAGAGATGCCAATTCAACTAACAGTCCTGTTTTTGGACTGTGGGAGGAAGCCAGAGTACTGGAGAGAGCCCACCCTTGTATGGGGAGAACATGCATATTCCATACAGAAAGACCCCGGGCCGGGAATCGAACTCAGAACCTTCTTGCTTCAACACAACAGTGCTTCTCTGCTGGAGGAGAGATTGTAGGTTGGATGCAGAGAAAGTCTTCCAGCTCGCTCCCCAAATCAGCTTCTCTGATTGGTTGGCGCGCGCCTTAAGCTGCAAAAGTCCACAATTTCTAATCTCAAAGTCTGAAACATTAGCACTTGAAACCTAACAGTTTAAACGAGCCGCAGGACTCACCATAGACCTTTTATGGAAACTGACACTCAAAAGATGATTGGTCTGAATGCAGCACCATGAAGAAACTATGGCAAAAGATTTTATAAGACACTATTTAAAGAAAAACAACAGATGTAATAATCTGGTAATGCAGTTATCATTCAGATTTAATAAAAATGTCTGCCTGTCCAGCAGGTAGTCAGCATGGGCTTTGTGCTGGCATGTTTGATGGATGGATTAGACGGGTAAAGTTTTTAGTTCTACTTTCTCACCTGAAAACCTCTAAAAACTACTTTTTATGACAAATTATTACAGGTTTGAACTATTACATTTATTTACTTATCTTCATTTGCTCTGAGCTGTCTTGCCTTGATATTTACTTATGATTGTAACGTTACTTTGGTCTTTGTTGATGTTTCACAAATAAGCAAACCTGACAGACATGTAGAAATATTGAGAAATGCACAATGTTTTCTCCAAACAGAGATGAATTGTGAGACAGATTGCTGAAAATGCCCTGGAAAAACCATCTAGAAATAAGTAAAAAATATCTTAAATTAA